TGACCATCAGGATTTCAGCCAACATGCCGATGTAATATATTATCCTCTTTTATGCATTTGTAACTTACTTTTTATTTTCTGATATGTTCCCTAAAACGTGATATTCTTTTCAAATGCAGCGTATCGCAGATGCACTGTAGATTGCATATCCTATTGTTGAGGCTGGTTATGAGGAGGGGATTCGATATCCTCATCGACTTTACCAGGCTATCGAGACTATGACGCATGTCCTTGAAGGTCAGCACATTGACAAAGCTGGACCTAGTTCTGCTGGACCTAGTTATACTGGAGGTCGCTTTTCATCTCCGACATTGACATACAGTCGTAGGCCTAGGCGTAGGCATACAGCTGATTCGTGACATGTTATTTGTTAGTTGATGAATTTTTTTGTGGTGTTTTTTGTAAGATGACATTATTGTAATGCTAACAGTGGTTAATATTTTCTTATTAGAATGGAATAGTAACAATGGTCGTTGATTTTATAAATGACATTTTGTTATTAGAATGGAATGGTAACAATGGTCGTTGATTTTATAAATGATATTTTGTTATTAGAATGGAATGGTAACAATGGTCGATAACATTCAATCCATGCCATAGAACACATCAACATCAAAAACACATCCACATCAAAAACACATCCATTAATTTCTTCGAGAATTCTAACATTGTCAAATGCATACATGTGTCATGCGATATCAACAACATCAAATGTCTCTCGAGTAGCTACAGTATCATGAATAATGTCCTTGAAATGCTGAATGCGGCGCACATATGCATCATCCCAGTCAACAGCACAAGGGTGCCGGTATTTTCGCCAATTAGTGGCTATAGGAGGAACTGGATGGCTTGGCTGCAAAAAAACCTACACCAAATGTCAATTGAGTTAGTGGTCATACCTCATAATTGCTTGTACATGCACAAATTGATAAGTTTCTGTTATACCTGGACGAAATGATTTCCGTTAACAAACCCAATGGCAATCTCACGTCTATCAAGTTGAGGTATTGTCACTGTTCTAAGAGGTAAAAAGGTGAGACATTGCTGTAATGACAAGTGGTATAACACAAGATTGTAGCACGATGCAACAAGATGCCCCATGTCTGGCATAGTCATCCAATGTGAGTATCCAAGACTGTCTTCAAAGTATGACAATATGCTTATCAATTCTTCAAACCTTTCGTAGGACCTATAAAGTGTAATGTATTCCTCTTTGTGTGTGTGCAGATCACGCCTAACCTGAGCCCAATCATCTTCTGTATGACCAATTGAAGCAGCTATAGCCCTGAAACCACAATTCCCATCTACAGCTACATCCTTGACAAACTTAATGTATGGTTTCAACCCAGAAGGGAAAGCATCAACATATGCACCAGGTTTCACTGTTCTAGTAATGTATACCTTCCCTTTCACATTCACCTTCTCCTTTCCCTTAACAGGTCGCTTCTTCTTGGTTTCCAGAGTAGAAGCTAATGTAGTGATTTGAGTGTCCTTAGGTGAGAAGGAATCATGTCCAGATTGCACCAACTCAAATGCACACGGGTCACGATGGGTAAAAACATTGATCTTCTTATGATCCCAAGGACGTGTTTTGGGCTTCACCCGTGGCTCAACAAGAAAAGTGCTTCCCGGATATACAATCTCTTTCAACTTCTTCAAAAGCTCCAACCGCATGGTTCTACCACTTTCATTAAACTTGTTTACAAACAACTCTACTTCTGCATGACAACTCACCTCCGTTTCCTCTTCTTTGTTGCATATGGAGATATGAAGTTGCCTCCACTATGAGTGTATGGTAGCAAGTGGTATAGGACGATCTTGTCTGATGTAGTCAGCAATCTCATGGGCACAAGGTAAACCATGAGTGTGGCGAAGGACGCATCCACAATCTTCAACATCAATACCAATGGAATTGGCTCTCTCACTCTCTACAAGCAAATACTGTAATGCAGAGATAGACACATTACCTCGTAGCTCCCTGAACTAAGAAGGTTTAAATTGATGTTGCACAACAGTTAGGCTTTTCTCAAATGAAGCTTTGATATCAGTGTGTTGCAACTTAAGCAGACTGTGTATTTTCTCAAATGATGCCTGAAATGAGACTTGACATGAACCCAATTGTCTTTTAAGTTTTGCATGTGCACTCTCAACCCTGTTCAATTCAGTGTAAGTCAAATTAAAATCAAGTACATGGCACTTATTAATAACATATTGAACAAAAGTAATCTTACCGGTTCGTTGTAACATTGCCACAATGCATACACGTGTCTGTCCATGCTACCACAAATTTCTCCTTGTAAAGAACCAACCAAGTATCCATGATGTATTTGACTGCATCAGGATAACTACTGAATTCCTTAAGTAATGATTTAAGACACTTTTCGTATTGAATTTCAGAAGATGAATACACTAAAGATTTCCACTCATGGTTGAACTTCTCCCATTTCTGTTGTCTCTTAAACATTTTCTTACATTTGGTCAATACATTCTTATTGATATGCCAACGACATAATAAATGTCTGTCACTCGGGAATATCTTCTGTATGGCATTTATCAAGGCTAGCTTTCTGTCAGCAACAATAATTGCTAGCACAACAAAACCATCCATGACATCACGCAATGTAGCTAACACCCATGCATAGTTATCGGCCCTCTCATACTGTAAGTATGCGAAAGCTACAGAGAAAGTCATTTCAGTTGATGTCACTCCCACAATTTCAAGAAGAGGAAGACGATATCTGTTGGTTTTATATGTGCAATCCATAGTTAATATACGTGGGAAAGACCGAAATAAGTCCAAACTGGTAGGATATGCCCAAAACAAGTTTGTCACAGTCATCATGGACTCTTCAGACCGATGGCGCTCGATGTAATTATACTTGGCCAATTCACCAAATAAGTATTGCATCTATGATCTTCCAGCTCTCTGTACCACCCTGTTTCTATGGCGTACATTGTAAATGGTTTTAAGTGTGCTTACATTGAGGGCATTTCGCTGTTTCAAGGTTACTAGGATTTCTTTTGGCTGAACCATGCTCTTTGACATATCCATTAACAATGCTTTCTCATCCTTTGATAGCGTCCCTGCATATGAATGTCCCTCAAGGTGCTCCGCAGGTGGATGGTTATGCAATCCGCATACTACGGTCAATGTCCATTCATCATGTGTGGTAAACCTGTGAGCCCTCATATCAAAAGGACAAGCACACTTCTTCGTACCGGTTATTCTTGATGTATTGTTGCCATCATGTTTTAACTTTTTTGTCGCTCTATATTGGCCACTCCTCTCACAAGCAAGATACATCCTGTGTCTTTTTTTCCCTGCACCATAGTCTGATGTTTTGATTACAATGACCAAACCATTTCTCTTTCCAACTTCACGTACCCAGTTGAGCAATTCATCCTTACTTTTGAATACCTACAAAGTCAAATAAATATTATCAAACATTTACATTTGTTGAGCAATTCGAAACATTATCATTATAATTTCATAGAGTGAACCTGTTCAGTTGTGAATTGAGTAGTGTAATCCAACACAAAATCCGCGCAAACCTGACTTCCTTGAATTGACACATATTCCTACATGTTTTGTATAACATTACAAATTTTTAATGGCATTATAAAGATTCATTTGCAATTTGAAACTGTAAATTTGGTATGCAGTTTGCAAATTTGGAATATAAAATGGGAATTTTTTTTTTTACTTTATTCGGAAGTACAGTGTTGAACAAAATACTAATTTTCGAAAGTAGTTGTTCGAATTAATTTTAAAATTTCGGAGTTGAATGTTGTAAAAGTAACTTATTTCGGACAACAACTTCCGAAATTAAATACTCATTTCGGTAGTAGATTTCCGAACAAAATAATATACTTCGACTCTGGTTATCCGAACGACGCTGGAAAAAAAAAACAAAAGAAACTCACATTTCCTTCGCTGTGTTTCTTATAAACATTTATTTGCTGATTTTCAGAAGACAAATCCTCCATAACAATGATGAATGAGGAAGAAGCTACGAATGAGGAAGGTTGATGCTTTCCCTTCTAGCTTAATGTATGATGAATGAGGAAGGTTGATGTTTTCCCTTCTAGCTTAATGTATGATGAATGAGGAAGAATTCAATAGCTTCAACAGCTTCAATGGAAGAAGTTACGAACTTGGAGCTTCAACATATGTCAAGTCTGGATGTGCATTGAGATGTTTTGAATTGGGTATGATGTCTAAAATGGTAATTTCACTTAGGGATAAAATTGTAATAAAAATAAATATCATTAAGTGTGTGTATAGAGGAGATTTGGTGTGTGTAGATAAAAGCTCCCAAATTTTACGGATAGCTAAAGCTGAAGAAGTCAAAATACTTAAATGTCATATATCATTACAAAATATTACCATTAAGCCAACTATATAAAATCCTATTACATTCTTTCTCTCTCTCTCCTCATTTTACATCTGAGAATACAGAGAGAACACAGAGAGCTCTAGAGAGAACCCAAAGAACTCTCACATTTTTGCCCAGATTGAATCTCAACGTGCAAATATCTGAAGTCGATCGGAGGCACCATTATCTCCGACGAAATCTGGACGACTAAACTTCCACCCCATCTCCGATGAGCTGTAAGTTTAGATCTTCTTTTTGTGCACAACCAGTTATATATATACATGGAATTTTTTTTTTTTTTTTTTAGGGTTGTTTTACTTGTTTTATTTTTCAATGAAATCCTAAACTTACTAATTTGTGGATTTAAGTTATGATTTATGAAATTAGGGAAAACCATTTGAGTTTTAAGATTTTGTTTTTTTTGATTTACAACCAGTTATATATATATATATACATGTTTACACTATGAAACAAAAAAAATTGTTTAGGGTTTTTTTAATTGTTCTATTTTTCAATGAAACCCTAAACTTACTAATTTGTGGATTTAAGTTATGATTTATGAAATTAGGGAAAACCATTTGAGTTTTAAGATTTTTATTTTATTTTATTTACAACCAGTTATATATATATATATATATATGTTTACACTATGGAAAAAAAAAATTGTTTAGAGGTTTTTTTAATTGTTCTCTTTTTCAATTTGTAGAGCAAACTAGCAAAATTGCTCATTGTTGATAGTTGGTTCACTTTTTGTTAGGGCCTAATCCCTTTTGTTTTTTTGTACCAAAAAAAAGAGAGGTTGAAATGGAATTGTAATAAAGTATATCAATATAAGTACTAATTATTAACTTTAATTTATAAAAGAGCTTTTTAAAAAATAAAATTGAAGAAAAGAAAAAAAATTACAATTTTTACATCTTATAAAAAAGACAATTATACAGTAAAAAACTATTTTACAGCTTATTCAACCAAACACTATTTAAATTCATAATCTCACAGTTGCACCAAACAGATTAATAGCTTTTGTTTAAAACTAAAATTTATAATCTGTTAAACTATAATCTATAATCACTTGTTTACAGTTGCACCAAACAGGACCGTTGTATCCTATTCCATATTTGAATAGGTCTCCTATCCCAAATTTAGATTGATTCAGTGGAATTGAAAAAATTTTGTTCAATTTGCAACATACTTTTATACTACCTTTGAAAATGGTTTTTTATAGTTTCAATTAATACATCTTTATTTGCACAAAAAAATATAAAAAATTACAATCCCTTTATAATCGTATTTTAAGACTAAACTAAAGTGTTTTCCTTTATATATTATAAATTTTATTACATATCTAAAAATCTTATTCTTTAGTGTAAAATAAATAAAAACAAATTGAATATGCATAATTGCTCTTTAAATTTGGAGGCCGGTGCAAAAATAGCACTATAACTATTCGTATTGATGTCGAATTCCAATGTTTTAGGAAATACCAGAAAATGGTTTCTGTTTGAAGGAGTCAATGGAGTTTCTATAGTTGGTGGAGTGCTTGACGGACAGGGCGCTGCCCTTTGGGCTTGCAAGGCTCCTGGCAAGAGTTGCCCCGATGGAGCCACGGTAGGTTAAAGATTCGTTTGAAAATTAATATTTTTAATTTTTATAAAAAGTTGGGCACAAAATAAAAATAATAGATTGACTTTTTATAGTGATTTTTTTATTTTAGAGTTATTTTAGCCCATTGTCGAACATGCTTAGATAACAAAACTATCTATACCCTATGAAAAATACTATTCCAAACATATTATTGTACAAGTATCAGCTACTTAACCCATACATGGTATGTGAAGTGTTTGGTATGACATGGGTATGGGAGTGCAGCTTGAGTGCAAAATGAGTATATTTTAGCCTTTGTTTGGGGTGTGAGTTAGTTTTTTTGACTTTTTAACTTCTTAGCAACTCAGGGGTGAGTGGCAACCTGGTAAAGGCCTGGGGTTTAAGCCCCTAGGTCCTGGGTTCAACTCTCCTCTGGGCCAATCTCCTGGGCGTAGCACAGTTGGTTAGGAGGTTGACCTCAAGGATGCCTTATCAGCTACTTGGTGTGGGTTTAATTCTCCCCCGCTGTGCGAGCCTTGACTTAAGCGGAGCTTGCCTTGGGAGGTCGGGACAAGCTTCCAGGTTATAGTCACTTACTCGGAATGGACAACAGGACACCCTGGTGATCTCCTCAAGGGGCGCTGCCTTGGACCTGCGGGAGAGTGGAAGGATTTTCCTGTAACAAAAGAAAAAAAAAGAGAAAAATTTCTTAGC